TTCTCAATAAAAATATATAAAATATAATACGACATTTATCATTTTGTCAATAAGCAACTTTAACAATGAGGCAGATAAGGCAGTATTTGTCATTGATCTTCATAAACAAATAGCTACTAATAGATACATTAATATGCAGATATACAGTACATGTGTATGCAGCAGTGGGGCTCAAGGAATGACACAGTCCACCACCAGTCCAATTCCCCAGGGCCAGTGACGCCCACACTGCTGGCTGATCTGCTGGCCAAAACGTTTCAGACATTTGCTGCACCTCCTGGAGACACAATCCTTAAACACAGCCACACTTTCAACCGTTTTGCTTTCGACATTTTGTTTTTGTCGACTTTGAGGTAGGTACTAGCTAACTATAGGCTCACGTTACGTACCGCTAGAGCTATGTAGAGAGTGGGAAGCCACCAGAGTTAAATGCAATCTTAACTAAGCATGTGCTGTGATGTTTATGTAGCCTGGAAACAGGTGAAATATTTATGGACAGAACTCAGGCACTGGAATGAGGCACTGAAACCTGCATTGTGATTTGGTTCTGGATGTACTGGCTGTGTAGGAAATGACTGACTGAATGAACAGTTAATGTATGGACTGCCCTCTTGCATAGCTCTAAACATCATACTCGTTTTGTTTATAGAGTGATGATACTGGACCTTAAAAACGCTTTGTGTTTGTTCTATGAAAATATATCTTGTTGCTGCCTTTCAAATTAAAATTTGGGTTTGGATTGTTTCAGTCAGGACACATTGCAAGTGTTAAGACATACAGACACGTAATGATATATATGTTTTAAAGTACATGTAACTGTTATGAGTAATCCCAGCTCTATTTATCTTCAAATAATTCCAGAATAATTATTTTGGAGTCTCACTAAATTGTATGCTCCCTCAGTATTTCTACACTCACACATATGTAGAGCAGTGGGGGGTTTTGTGAATGGCAGGAAAATTGTGCTAAATATGATGTTTCAATGAATCAATTGATTAATAGAAATAAATACTGACACAACACATGTATCAAGACAGATTATGTTGATGAGACACAAATACACGCTGTGATAAAACCTTATAGCACTGTCGCTAAACAGTTCCGTTAATGAGAACTAAGTGAACATGAAAATGTTTAACTGCTGCTGTTCTATGTCCTCAGTAGGAATAATGACTAAACGCTGAGCTTTAACATTCATTCGCCTGCAACCAACTCAAACCCTCTGCTGTGTTATGGTATCCTACTTAAGCACTAAGCAGGTCTTTGATTAAATCAGACGAGGTGGGTGTGGATTCACACAATATAATGAAATGCTAAAACCATGTGCAGCTTCTGGTGGGGTGAAATCCTTCAATCATCAGTATCAGCTTTAAGAAAAAGATGAATAGGTGTAATTATGGTTTGGACCCTTTCAAACCTCATTTTTGAAAATATTTCATGAGCAAAGCAGGTTGAAAAATATGATTTTCTAATCTGAGGTTCACATTATCATTCAATAGTTCCATGCTAAGTGGAGCTGAATTGCTCTGTCATGCTGTGCAGTTTATCTGTACTCTTTCACTTTACCATGTCCATCATAGGGCACTGGGACAACTCACTATTATTTTGATTGTCGATTATTTGACAATATATATATATATTTCTGTCCATCGTTCTGTCCATAAAATACCCTGTATGACTGTTTAAAATGTCCATGAACTAAAGTGGCATCTTCAAACATGTTTGTTTAACATGAACTGCGTGTTATATATGTACAACAAAGGTGCTAATTCACAAATGTAGCATATATAACACATATGTATGTATTTGTAAAACAATTATACCTCTTTTGTTATAGAGACATTTATTATCACACATTTTGTTATTTTGACAGCCATTATCTGTTTATACAGCAGACACTATTTGTGGGTGCCCACTGGAGGAGTTGTAGCAGCTGTTAACAAATACATGAACAGCACTTTTCTGCTAACAACTACATTGAGTCCAGCCCTCAGTGGCAGTGACAGTCTTTTCTAACTCTCCGCATCGTTGACATCCTCTGACCTCTGGGGCCAAACAGCAGCGTTTCAGACTGACTCACGGTGTCTGTTGTTGTCGTATCACGTACCAATCTGCAGTGTGAGTGAGCAGTCACCCTGCAGGAAGCCATCAACAGCAGCTAATGCAGTCTGCTCTCCTCTGTTTCACCTGAGAAAAGCAGATTGGGAGGTCAAAGGGACACATCGTCTCTCTGCTGAAAGGATTTTCACATTCAGAGCTGCATGACCCCATCGTCTATGTCGTTTGTATCGATCAGGTTGCCTCTGTGTTAATGTTTTGCACTCGTCAGCGTTTGAAGTATAAAACAAAACTTGCAAATCCCCCCTCCCCCCGCAGCTTAGTCATGATGCTGTGAAAGTGGACGCGTCTGTGGGCAGATCTGCTGAAGCGTTAGATCCTCCTTACTGCTGCAGCAGGATTTTCATCTGAACACTGAAGGGTATCATTCCACCTCCATCCACAAACCCCTGCAGTCTCCTCTCTCACTCTGTGCTGCAGTTTAGTACAAATCATTGTTCTATATCTCATATTAGTGATGTAACTGCAGTGTGTCTGCAGGTTAAAAAACAGTGTCGTCAGTGTGTTTCTATGGTAACATCAACAGCCACATCCTCTGGTTTGTGTCATTGATGCTCTCTGAATGTCATTTAGTTGTGCTTGATTCTTGGATTTAGTCTCAGCTTCATGTCTTTGCTGTTTTTGTATTTTACTGACAACACTGACTCCTTGGATTCTCAGTTTCCTACTTATTTTCACTCTCTTCATGCTCCGTTCAGATGTGGTTACTGCTGCTCGAACCACAGTACAATTCTAGTCACATAAACCAATTAAAACAGAATAAAATTAAAAAACAAAGTTAAAGGATAATTAACTGGAATAAATGAAAATGAGATACTGATACAAAGAAAAGCACGGCAAGTTTATTTATAAAGATATTAAAGAAAAAATATATGAAAATACGTATTAATAAAATTAATGAGTAAAGGAATATGTAAAAGATAAAAATAATATAAATTCAAATAAAACAGAACAGGAGAACAGAGACATTATGAGCCTCCATCTGCAGAGGGTGCAGCAAAACTGAGTGGAGTGGAAAGACAGGTTTACGTTTTGGTTAGCAGGTTTTAGATTGAAACATGGTCACATATGGACAATGTCAAAGATCATAGGGAGGTTATCCTGTGATGCTAAATAGCAAAATGTGGGAGTCATCACATCAGGCAGCATCACATACTGATGTGTAATGCCATCTTTAGCCATGCAAAATACAACTTGTAGCTGAGAGCACAGCTCTTGTTGATTTTGTTAGCTTTGTCACTGTAGCCTCTATCTATCTGTGGAGTTTGCTGTTGCATTAAGTTGACTTCCCTGACCTTGCTCAGTGAGAGCCGAGATTCTCACGTTTGTTGCTTCTCTGGTAAATCCATTTTTCTTACAACGTTTCTGTAGCGTGAGCATCTATAGTGACGCACCTTAGCCAGGGGTATTTACCTTTCCATTTGGAAACCAGAAACCATTTGCTGGAATGGTGCTTTACCGGCTTCGCATTCAATCTGAGCATGTGTTTTATAGGCCTGTGGCATTGAATCTAAGGGTGCTGTATCAGACTGAAGCAACAATGAAATAAATATTGTTGTTTAATAGATGCTACACATTCATGAAAAATTAAAATTAGTAAATAGGGGATTTATGCATGTATTTTGAGCATTATTTTCACGATTATTATTTTCATTTTAGTTAGCCTCACAGCAAGAAGGTTACGGTTCGAATCCAGGCTCGGCTGAGGGCTTCCTGTGTGGAGATTGCATGTTCTTCCTGTGTTTGCGTTGGCTTCCTCCAGGTTCTCCAGCTTCCCACAGTCCAAAGACACTGTAGTTTCTTAAGGGCTTATTTGGACAGACCTGAGAAAAGATGAAGATAGATCAGGTTTTGGTTTTCTGGGCCTATTTATTCCATTTAATACTCGGTTGTTGCTGCCAGAAAATATGAAAAGCAGGTTTTGCACAAAGTAAAAGTTTTCATGATCTGAATAGATTTGCACTGGATTGTTTAATTTCATTTCTAGGAAAATGTCACAGATGAATAGTTTCTTGATAAAAGCATTGGGTTGAATATAAAAAGCAATCTGCTCATGTTTTGTCATCAGTTATAAAGTTAATAACATTTATTTTACTGAAGAGTAAGAAAGGACAGTCATCAGCTACATAATGAGCGCTTCTTCCTCTGACTCTGACATGGTGGAGAACTGTAAGCACCACTCTGATTGAGAGATAAGATTTTTTTCTTTTAATGTATGAAATAATTTTTTTATCAGTTTCATTCAAAGTCTCCTGTTTCTAAACTGATCCAGATCCTAAAAAGATACCATCGTGCTGCAAACTCAGGGGATGCACTGAAGAGTCAGAGATCCCACTATTATTAGACCTCTCTAATATTAGAGCCTGCTTCTGTGCTGAAACAGAAGGGAATTAAAAACTTCACCTCTGAATGGAATGAAGTGCTGATGCATAATTATGATGAATGTGAAAAAGGATAATGGGAATATGCTTTAAAATCAAATTCATTATGAGATATTTCTGTAAGTATTGTTCTAGTTTGTAGTGTAAATGTCTCTCCACCTGCAACTCACCGCAAGTGGCTGATATATCTGTCCAATGCCAGAAGTTATGTTAAGAAAAATATTGGTCTTAACTTAGTGTTTATTGTTCGCACGGCTTTAATTTTAAACTTCACCCAGCAGACATCAGTGACCTATTTCCTATTCCAACTTTTGTTCTTGTATTAATATAAAAGTGGGTTGCCTGTCTCTATATAGTCATTGGCCCACATAAGATAGAGAATGCAGTGTAGTGAATCTTCCTCATCACCGTCGTGCCTGGATGAGGTTGGATCTTACACATCACTGCCTGTTCATGAAATAAGTTAACTGAATGATTTTAATTCTCTCTCCTACAGGACAAAGGACTCTCTACCACAGAAGTGATGTCTTAGAGACAGTGGTGCTTGTCAACCCTTCAGAGGACACTGTTGTATCAGAGGTACATCAACATTCATATTCAGATGTATGGGACAAATCAGTGGACTGTATGTGTCAATATAATACATATAGAGTAGGCTATAAACAGATACACACACACACTCACACTTATATCTTCAGTACATCTCCTGACTGACAAATGTACTGGTCAATTTCATTATCTGAGCATTTTTAAAGGTGCTACCTGTAGATTTTCTCTGCAGCAGAACAGGGGTTCTTGCAGTAAGCCAGTGGGGGTGATGGTTGCTCGCAAACAGATTCAACAATCAAGTATTTACATTATAAGTCATAATGATGTACTCTGAGAGAGTAGATTAGAATAGCAAAAATTAAGTATGGTTGGCATTGCCGCATGGAAACTTGCATATAGCCGCTTTAAAAATGTTTTTCTCAAAAGCCAAACCAATACCTGGTTTAGGTGATCAATGTCGGTGTTTTGATAAGGAGCCATAAACATTATTTTAAGAAAGTATAACCAAGATAATAGTGGGATTATTACACTTGTATAATCCTGCTAACTAGCAAACAAACATATAAAAAAACATCCTTAGTTACATGCTCTCCTAATGGAGACACTGTGTCAAATTGAACACAAAGCATTCAGGAACATTTATAGAGAGCCAGCAAAATGAATCAGACTCTGCTTTATTCTATAACTTTACTTTGAGAAATATAAATGTTTTTTTCTACAAACCCTTTATCCACAAAATCAAAAGAAACGTCAAAATTATGATGTACATCAGGATTTATCCAATCATAGAAAACTAGATTATCCAGCCAGCCATGTATTTGATGTCATCTTTGGGTCTTTGACAGTTTTTATTACTCAGTTCAGTCAGTACCCCAGTTAGATTGAGAATTCATATCTAAGCCTATTCCCTATTAGATATTAATCACCAAAATCACCCGTTATTCTTCTTGAGGAAATATGAAAAATACTTTTTGGAGTTTTGTGTATTATTGATAAAAATGTCATCGCTTATCTTGGTAACTTTGACATATTAAAGTCTATCTTCATTTGTAAGTGACTCATGTGTTTGGTATTCTATTTCAAGCATTCTTATCTCTCCATTAACTGTTGGTCGTCTCCGTCTCTCTTCTTCTGTGTGTGTCTCTGTCTCAGATCCAGTCTCTAGTCACAGACTCAGCAGGACACAAGCTTCTGGTCTTAAGTGGCCAGAGCTCAGATCACGGTGGCCTTCTCCTTCAAACTGGGGTTTTCACCTACCAGAACATTTCCCACGTTTTTACTGATCCTGGGGTGAGTCAAGTCTGTGATCGCCAAATTCTTACTCATGACATGATGAACATTTTGAAGTTCATACTGTGAAAACATGTTTGTGGTTTAAAATAGTTCAATATGAAAGGATAACTACACTCTTCAATATATGTTAGTGATTTAGTTGTTGTTCCTTAGTTCAGAGGAGGATTGCAAACAGACAAGAAGAGCAATAATCAGAAAAACTCCTTTATACATTCAACGAAATTGGTGGGTTGGTATTCTGGATCCACTGCTTTTGGAAGGAGAAGCTTTTTAGATATATAGATTGAACACATTCACCATGGAACGGACATTTAGATTCTAGGTTTAATTAAAGGTACACTTCAGTATTTACTATATGTTTTGTTGTTTTTTTCTATGTGACCACAAGCTGGTGCAACAATGAGAAAAGCAAAGGGGACTAACAATGCAAAAGACATAGGTGATGATTTGAATGCTGAATGATGTAATTATAGTAATAAGATGCTTTGTATTATGTTTATGAAGTGGTTTTGTGCTTATTAACGTTTGAGGTTTTAATTCAACAGTATACTCGATTCTCCTCATTCAAAGTGGTCCAAGGCTGCAAGAACCAGCTCAGATGTGATTGGGTTGATTTCTTATTGTTTGTTGGTCCCTTGACAAATAGAAACTGGTTTGTTTAGAAATGTGTCAAAAAGCACAAGAATAGCACAAAGGAAGACAGAAGAGGGAGTATTCGTGCCTTGTTGTTGTTTTTTAATCTCTTTAAGATACAAGTATGTTCCTGTCAGTATCCCTGATTGATGTGTCTGGGTGTGTCTCTCCTGCAGGTCAGTGCGTTACTGGGCACAACAGCCCCCAAGCAGCAGGCTACACTCACTGTGTCCTGCCGCGGGGAGGTGGGCTGGAGCTCCCTAGGACAGCAGCAGACCCTACGGGAGTTCCTGGACTACAAACTAAACCCTCAACCTCTTCTCTGCAAGATGGAGGGCATCACCGAGTTCACAGAGTATGTCTCTGAAACGGTCGATGTGCCTTCACCTTTTGACCTCTTGGAGCCACCCACCTCTGGGGGCTTCCTGAAACTGTCCAAGCCATGCTGCTACATCTTTCCTGGCGGACGAGGAGACTCTGCTCTCTTTGCTGTGAATGGCTTCAACATCTTAGTGGATGGAGGCTCTGAACGAAAATCCTGCTTCTGGAAGCTTGTTCGTCACTTGGACCGCATCGACTCAATTCTACTGACACACATCGGGGCTGACAATCTCCCAGGTATCAATGGGCTTCTTCAGAGGAAGATAGCAGAACAGGAAGAGGAGCAGTCCCAAGGCTCCACCAACTACAGTGACTGGATGAAGAACCTGATCTCGCCTGAACTAGGCGTGGTCTTCATCAATGTACCAGAGAAGCTTCGTATGCCAGAATCTAATCTCAAAGTAAAACGCAGCATCGAAGAGGCATCACTAACTCTGCAGTACCTTAGCAAGCTAGGAATCAAACCCGAACCTCTCTTTCGAGTGGTGAGCAACACTATCGAGCCCATTACTCTGTTCCACAAAATGGGTGTTGGCAGGTTAGACATGTATATTCTAAACCCTGTCAAAGACAGTAAAGAGATGCAGTTTCTAATGCAGAAGTGGGCTGGCAACAGCAAGGCCAAAACTGGTATTGTGCTGCCCAACGGGAAAGAGGGAGAAATATCTGTTCCCTACCTGACATCGATTACAGCCTTAGTCGTCTGGCTCCCTGCCAACCCTGCAGAAAAGATTGTCCGAGTGCTGTTCCCTGGAAATGCACCACAAAACAAGATCCTGGAGGGGCTAGAGAAATTAAAGCACCTTGACTTCTTGCGCTACCCTGTAGCCACGCAAAAGGACATTGCCTCAGGAGCTCCTCCCTCTGTTAAACAAACCAAGTTAAAACAAAGAACAGACAGCAAGGAGAGTCTTAAATCCTCCCCGAAAACCACTGCAAAGGTTACAAAGAAAGAAACTGAAGGACAAGATGTTGTGCCAGCAGCCACAGAGGTAAAGAGCGATTCTGTGAAGGAAACTATATTAGAGAAAAAAGAAGAGAAAAAGCCAACTAAAACTATAAAATCTAAAGCTGATGTTCCAGAAAAGAAGAAACTCTTGAAAGAAAAATCCTTAAAAAAGCACTCAAAAGAAAGGGTGTCAAAAATGGATGAGAAAAAGGACAAGGAAAAGAAAGAGATAAAGAAAATAAAGAAAGATGAATCTGCTAAAAAAGATGAGAAGAGGGATTTTAAATCCAAAGAGGACAAAAAGAAGGACACATCCAAACCTGAGCTGAGAAAAATTACAAAGCCTGACCTAAAACCACTGACACCAGAAGTAAGAAAGACATTACATAAAGCTAAGGTTTCGACTAAAGCCAAAACTGGGAAAGTTAAAACAGCAAAGTCTGAACCTGCTGAACCCAAACCAGAGGAGCCGAAACCTGCAACAATCCAACCTGAACCTAAAGAAAATGGAGCTGCTGAGGGCCTGTCTGCTCCCTCCACACCCGAAGACCTCACCAAGGATTACGAAGAATTAAAAAAAGCTGAGGTTGTACTTGTGGCAGCAGAACCACCAGAGAGTCCTGAAGTTTCATCTGAGCCAACAGCACAAGAGAAGCAGGAAGCACAAGAAAATGTATCTGAGATTTCAGCTGGCACAAAGTCTCCTGAAAAGGAGGCAACAGCCCCTGAAATTGAGGACAAAGACAAGGTGTCTACACAAGAAAGTGAATTAGAGGAAGCTCAAAAGTTTGAGGATGAGGGCGCAGCATCTCAGGATGAGGAAGAGGAAGAGGAGGAAGAAGAGGCCCCACCTGCCAAAAAGAAAACAGAGGAGGAGGAGGAGGAAGAGGATATGGGAATAGGGGAAGAGGAGGATGAATCCAAATGGAAAGAGGCAAAGGATGATGAGCTTGACAGGAAACATGAGATTGAAGAAATGGAGAAATCAGAAACTCTCTTAGCTAAGGTTGTGACAAGAGAGGAGCTGGCGATGACTTCACCCAAGGAGGAGGAAGAGGAGGAGGCTGGAGAGAAAGCTGAACTGGAGGAGGTGGAAGATTTAGATGTCATAGCAGATGAAGAGATCAAAGTGAAACCTGAAGATGCTGTTGAAGAACAAATGGTCACTCAAAGCAAAACTGCTGAACCCTCAACTACAGCTAAATATGAGGAAGAAGAGGAGGAGGAAGGCTACTTGTCTCATGTTGGAGGGGCCACAGCTCCCATTACCTCAGTAGCTCAAGGGGCTGCTGCTGCTGCTGAACCCATGTCCTACATCCAAGATGAAACCATCCCTGGCTACTCTGAGACAGAGCAGACCATCTCTGATGAGGAGATTCACGAAGAGGCAGAGGAGAGGATACCACACCTCCAATATGATGTAGGTGCCTACGACATCTCTGTTCCAGATCAGACTGAATCATTTGTAAACATTCATGGCATGAGGGAGATGCAAGCTGCAGCTATGGGTGAAAAAGGGTTTATCCCAGCTGTGCAGGAGCAAGTTTCTGTGTTCACAAACATCATGACCGCTCCTTTGGCCGAAGAAGAGCATGTGTCCTCTGCAACGTCCATCACAGAGTATGACAAAATGTCCTCCTTCCCTACCTCCATTGCTGAAGATCAATCTGTGGCATCTGTCGCAGCACCTCAGGCTGAGGAACCATCCAAAACATCTTTTCCCCTGTCAAGCCCGATTGATGCTACTCAAGGCAAAGAGCAGCCACTCTCTGCAGGAACTCTTTCACCACCTTCTTTGGAAGATGACAAACAATCCAGGTCTCCATCTGATGACGCACTGACACCTGCTGCAGAAGCGAAGACGCTGGATAAAGCTCCTGATGCCCATCATGCACAGGAAAAGGAGGAAGATGAGGAAGAAGATGAGGAGGATGAAGAAGACCAAACTCCTAATGTTGATATTTCACTTGAAAAACTCCAAGAGGGCTATGCTTCATCCGAAATATTGCAGGACAAAGAGAGAGACATTGAAAAGCTGACTGGTTCAGTGTCTCCTGTTTCAGAATCTACACAATACATCAAACCAGTCCACCTGCCAGTCGAAGAGGAAAATATAGATGCAGTTTTACAGAAAGATATTTCATCTGTTGTTCCTACCAGACCTTTTGGATCTGACTCAGTAACTTCTGAGAGCGAGGAGCGTTGCTTTAGTCCCGATGATATAACTGTAAAAATGGCCTCACCTCCACAGTCTGGTCCATCAAGTGCAGCTCCCTCTCCAATCCGTCAGTCCCCAGTGGAAGACAAGGTAAAGGTTTTCCCTGGTTTAGAGTTGCAAAAGCCAGAAGAGCTCCCAGACGTTGTCACTGCAACGGAAGACAAAAATAAAAAGAAAGCTGAATCAGAAACCAACACACAAACAGCTGCTGACAAACAGCTGGTAGATCAGCATGAAGTACAAGCTGCAACATCCTTGGACAACATATTTGACAAGGACCTTAAAAAGGTTCCAGAGATAAAGGAGCCAGAAAAAGACACATCACCAGTGCAAAAAGATGAAGGCAAACAGACAGAAACAATCCCCACTGTTGCTGCATCTTTAACAGACACTCAGCCTCCAGTGTCAGAGAGAGACTCCTTCATCTCATCTGAACAACATGATAAAGATGGTGGTGTTGGACTCAAAGACAAAGAATCTAAAGTGCCTGGCTCAGGTAAATTGCCAGAGGGGGACAGTCGCTTCTTAGGTGATGATGACGATGATGATGATGATGATCACGATGACCACGATGATAAATCTGCAGTTAAAACCATCAGGGTGGAACATGAGAAAGAAAAGGATGATACCTCTGATGTCAAACAATTCAAGGATAATGAGAAACAAACATCTATCATTAAAGAAGATGTTTCCGTCACTAAGTCTTTCATGGATGAAAAAGCAGAGAGAGAGGCAGTAACGGCCGACACATCTGATATTAAAAGTGTCAAAGAGGAGCAAACTGCAAAGGACACTGCCACCACTGATAAACCCATTAAAGATGAGCCTCAACAAGACCATATTCCTGAAGTCAAAACTTGTAAAGCAGCAGAGATGAAAATTGTTGCTTCTGAGGTGGAACAAGTTAAGGATGAGCAGAAGCAAAAAGATGCAAAACAAGATGATGGTTTTGACTTCAAACCCAAAGGTGATGTTAAGGACACAGATGTTAAAGAGGACGATGTGTCTGATAGTAATATTTTGAAAGAAGAGGTAAAGAAAGAGGTAGATACATTTGATATTAGCTCTATAAAGGCTGAAGAAAAACAGATGGAAAAGGCAGATGCCACAGATATAAAGGAGAAAGAGGCAAAGAGGGATGATGTGCCCGTTATTGAGCCTAAAGATGAGGAGAAGAAAAAGGAGACAGAAACATCTGACATCAAGTTGGATGAAGATAAGAAACAGGAGAAAGATAAGGAAAACATTGATTTTTCTATCACCAAGCCCTTTACAGATGAGCAGAAGGAAAGTGAGAAAGATATGCATGACATCACTGCTCCTAAACTTACCAAAGAAGAAATCATTGTTAAGGATGGCACATCTGCTGTTATCATGAAAGAAGAAAAGGAGCAAGACATTTGTAAAGATGCTATTTCAACTGTTAGCCTCACCAAGGTCGAGGAAAAGGATGTGACAGTGAGTAAAGATGAGATTCTGGTTGCCAAGCCAACCACAGAGCATGAAAAAGAGAAAGAGACAAGCAAAGATGATAAAGTTGATACTGCGGCTATAAAAGTTACAGAAGAAGAGGAAAAAATTAAAATGTTAAGCAAGGAAGATGTATCTGCTGGTAAACCAACACTTGGGGAGGAAAGTAAAGATGATACTGCTGGCATCACACTTACCAAGATGGAGGAAGAGAAGTTATGTAAAGCTGATGATGAATTATCTGCCACATCAACCAAGGTAGAAGCAAAGGAAACAGTTGATGATGCTGTCAAACCAATCACAGGAGAAAAGGAGCAAGAGACAATTAAAGATAAAGATGTCACTGATGTCAAACTCGCTACAATGGAGGAAGAAGATGTAATCATTTCCACTGTCAAAACATCTGAGGACAAAACAAGCAAAAAGGCTGAAATTGTTGCTGCTGAACCCACCTCACAAGACAAAAAAGAGAAAGACATTTGTCCTGGCAAAGAAGCAGAAGAAGAAAAAGAGAAAGACATTTGCCCTGGCAAAACAGCAGAGGAAGAAAAAGAGAAAGACATTTGTCCTGGCAAAAAAGCAGACGAAGAAAAAGAGAAAGACATTTGTCCTGGCAAAACAGCAGACGAAGAAAAAGAGAAAGACATTTGTCCTGGCAAAACAGCAGAGGAAGAAAAAGAGAAAGACATTTGCCCTGGCAAAACAGCAGATGAAGAAAAAGAGAAAGACATTTGTCCTGGCAAAACAGCAGAMGAAGAAAAAGAGAAAGACATTTGTCCTGGCAAAACAGCAGAGGAAGAAAAAGAGAAAGCAGTGGATAAGGAGAAAACCTCTGAGCAAGGAGCAGTGACAATTCAGAAACGTGCATTACCAATTAAGGAAGAGATCAAACCATCCATGGAGGGAGAGGGCAAAGACAGTGCTGGTGTAACACCCCCCACAGATGAGGAGAAGAAGACTGAGGTGAGAGAAGATATGTCAGATGTAAAACTTATCAAGGAAGAGGTGAAAGAGATACCAAAAGACGAAACCAAGGTGCAAGAAGTAGAAAAAGAGAAAGAAAAGAGCAGTGTATCTGATTTGGTATCCATTAAAGAGCAGAAGGAAAAGGATATTGTTGATAAAAAAGAGATGGAAAAAAGTGACATTCCTGATAAACAAATGATAACAGAGGAGGCTAAAGCGCAGGGTGACGTCTCTGACCACAAACCCATTTTGGACGAATTCAAGCATGAGGAATCTGAAAAGGACATTGAGAAAGAGTCCACTGCTGAGCAGCCAAAGGATGTGAAGGAGAAAGAATCGTCTAAGGTTGAAACCATCGAAGAAATAAAAGATGCAGTCAAACAGGACAGTCATGAAGCAGAATCCAGCAAACAGGAGACAGAACAGGAGATGTATACTTTAACATTTAGTGCCAAAGATGATAAAAAAGGGAAACATGATGATCTTTTTGAGTCAGAGCCCAAGAGGGATGATACAAAAGAGGTAGATAAGACCTTGGAAGATGAAAAGACTAAAAAGGATGATATTTGTGACATGAGTGAAAAGCAAATATACCAAGACATTTCTGATAAGATTCCTGGAGCTCAGGCAGAAAATGACACTTTTGGTCCTGCACCAACAGAAATGCAACAAGACCCTTCTGTAACCCAATCAAGGGAAGAGCTCAAACCAGTGACAGATTACATTTCTGTGACTCCCCATTACATACAGGAGGAAAAAATAGAAAAACATAAAGAAGCAGAGGTCATTATTAGTCAAGAAGAGAAGATAGAGAAAGAAAAAGATGACACGCATGTTGCTGAACTGAGCAAAGAACAGAAAATGGAAAAAGAGCAAGAGAAAGATTATAGTTATGAGACTGAAGACAATAAAGATGAAAAGACCAAACCAGCAGAAGAAGAAAAAATGATTAAAGAAAAATATGTTGCTGACACAAAAATGGATGAGATCACAGAAAAGGAAAAGCTTGATTCACCTGATGCAGATCAGACCAAAGAGGAGAAATGGGAAAGAGAGGAATTACAGGAGAAAGACAAGGACAAAACCATTAAACAACCTGCACAAACAGTATCAGGGGACACAGAGACATCCAAGTCAGATTTAAAGCCTATGTTTGTGGTTCAGTCCTCTGATGAAGACAGAGAAGACGAAGAGGAGGAGGATATCTGTATGGGAGGAGCTGGCTCCAGACCTTTGTCGGTGGAGCCGATGAAATCAGACCATGACATCTCTTCTGCAGGTCTGCCTTACGAGACTGCACCGACAAGTGACCAAACTAAACCACAACCATCACAACAGATCCCAGTGGTCATTCCTACTCTCACAATGCAGGAGCCCTCTATTGATGAAGACATCAAAGAGTCTGACAAAGAAGAATCCAGATTTTTACCTGAGGCAGACAAAGATGCTGTGAAAACAGAAATCACACCTGAGCCTCTCGCTAAGCCTGAGTCTTCATTTGAGAGTGACACAAAGGAGGAGACGACCGTCATTCCAAAACAAGAACCAGTTTCTCATGTCCCAGCTGCCAAGGCACAACCAGTGTTAGAATTGACTGAGAAAAAGCCTACGCTGTCAACAGTATCAAGCACAGACAGTCAACCCAGGAGCTGTACACTTTTGTGCACTGAGAGCCAGTCCAGTGTAGAAGAAATACATGAACGAGAGAAACCAATACCATCTCAGGTGAGTCCAGGAGTTGAAGCTACAGAAAAGACAAGTCAACCTGAGAAACCAGGGAAGGAAGCAGAAAGGGAGATGGAAGGAGAACGAGAGGTGGCTTCTCCAGGATTTTCACGGCCTTGTGCGTATTTTATGTTGGACAAAGAGGAGGCTGAGGATGCTGGACACACTGATGCTGTAAAACTAGACACTACAAAAATGGAGAGTGGCCAAAAACCAACCTCTGAGAAGGAGATAGGCAGTGGAAGCCTACAAGACGAAGAACAAACCTTTGGTGCATCCAAGTATGATCCATATGAAAAGCCCATCCCAAAAGATCATGACCTGGACTCTAGAGAAGAGAGTGAAGTTTCTTTAGGTTTTGATCACACCTCAGATATCGATATTGATGATAACAGAAGAACAAGCCAGGCAGAGGCTGGAGGAGCCATGTTTCTGCTTGATGATCAGTACAAAGAAGAGCCTCTGTCCTTTAGCAGAGTTGACTACAGCCCGGTGTCCCTCACAGAGAGTGAAAGGAGCAGTCACCATAGTCCAAGCACCTCCCCGAAATATGAAGACAGAGAGAAAGGCCAAGAGGAGGAGAGTGAGAGAGAGGAAAGACCAGATACTCCTTATGTTGACAAGAGCTTTTCAACCATAGACCTACACGACAACAAAATGTCCCAAGCTGCTGAGTCTTATTCTTTCACTCCCAAAGAGGACAAACCAGAGAAATCTGAGAAAGAGAAAGAGGAAGGTGCTGTAGCAGCAATTCAACCTGGGGCAACAGGAGAAAGTGCAGCTACAGCCTCACAATCGGCAGGCTTACCATCAAGGCAAGAAGTACCCTCTCCTTCATTGAAGGAATCAGATCTTGGTACTCAAGCTTTAGCTCCTCCTGTAGCCTTTGGAGAACTCACAGAGAGGGAAAAATCAGCTGAGTCACTGAAAGTGAAAATCATGTCCTCTGATCATGAAAGAGAAGGCTCGCCATCAGGTCGGCACTCACCAGCAGAAAAAGACATTTTACCTCAACTCTCACCTTTGGAGAAGGTGGAAACATCAACTGACTCAAGGGCTGCCCCTGCTACCACGTTTGGAATAGATGATAACGTTCTTGCCTCTGATAACAGTCAAATTAGCAGTTCTGCCACTTGTAGATCCACGTTAGACTTTCCTGAGGGAAAGCAGAGCCTAATAGATAAACGGCTACTTGTAGAGGGAGAAGATTTTGATGATGATGAGGAGGATGAAGATGAAGATGAGGAGGAAGAAGAGGAAGAGGAGTTAAGTGATGTTGATATGGAAAAGGGTGCAAGAGAGCAGTCTGAAAAAGAAACATGCAGATGCAGTCCTGATGGTAGTGCTAAATTAGCAGAAACAGAAGACTCAAATAAAAAATCTCAGTTCCTTGAATCAAGCTCCCTTAAAGAGGAAACCGTGTGTAAGCCAACACCTGATGGTGCCTCAGCTTCTAAAGTCATAGAGACAGACAAGCAGGATGTAAGTGAAAAACCACCATCTCCTGAAACGAAACCAGTCAAAGAAGAGGATAGATCTGTTGATACAGCTACATCCAAACCTCCAGAGACAAAGAGTGAAGATGCAGCCAAAACAACTCCATCACAGGGCCCCGGTGCTCATGAAATGGATGAAATTAGTTTTGCTACATCTGATGCCTCAAAACCTCCTGAAACAAAGAAAGCAGAGGACCCAGACAAAAAGCATCTATCCCCCGAACCAATCACGAAGAGAAGGTTGTCATCGTCAGAGGACATAACCTTCTCTGAAGCACTCAAGCCTTCATCTCCAAGCTTTTTGTCAATGGAAACTTGTCAATCAAAGTCCCCAAGCAGCTCGACAGGCATCTCTTTGCAAACTGATCATTCAGAGTCCAAGCCTACATCTAGTCCCTCCCCTCCACTAACAAGCAGTTATGCTGATATCGGACAGAGCAGATCTGAAGGTTATTCCGAGTATTTGTACAGTGAGCAGAGTCAAGCAGTACAGAAAGACGACAAGACAGACATGCTCTCAGATGCCTCCAAGCTATCCAATCTAGGTGATGATAAATATATCAACCAAAGAGACATACAAGAAGAAAGTTTAGATGAAAGGCAGACCTCAGATATCACCGCAAAACATGAGGAAACTACCTCATCAGCTTGCACATACAGCACATTAACATACTCTACCACAACATACTCTTCCACGTCATATAGTTACTCATCCTCAGCGTCAACTACTGCCCCTGTTAGCAAACAGCTTGGAGAAAAAGTTGAAACTTTCACTACAATATCGGACTCTAAAGTACCTCTACTTAAAGAGGAGCCATCCTTGACGAAAGCATCCACAAGCTCCTGCTTTGGAGGATTTCAGAGAGATGAGTACATGGAGGTGACAATGAAACCTACAACAAAAGTGTCTTTACTCAGTCAGGTTGAAGAGACCACACCATCATCTCCGGTCCAGGCTGCCACTGCCAAACAGACTGAGGGTATTATCGAGTCTGCAAAGCCTGAAAGTCAAGTCACAAAGTCAAATACTGATAGTTTTTATACACTTGAAACAAAGATTACAACATCCACAACAGCACCATCTCTACAGTGTGATGAACCAATGAAGATGTCAGAGAGCTTATCCACATCAGAGGCTCGCTTTGATTGCTCTCCCCTCCAAAGGGCTGACTCCTCTGACAAGGGGTCCCAAGGGTCACCAGAAGATGAGGAGCCTGATACACTTGAAATGGAGGACAGCACCCTACCATGTCGTATTGAATGTCAAAAAATCAAAGTGGCTGAGCAAAAAGAGACTTTGTCATGCGTGGTAGAAAGCACCACACACTCCACAGAGACGAAGACTGTCACAATCACCTCTACGACTGTAGTGTCTAAACCTGACGTGGTGTCGCAAACAACCCATCAGACAGCCTCTGTAACTCCACTGAGTGATAGTGGAGCCAGCAAAACCTCATGTGCCATAACAGAAGTGTTCAAAACAGAAAAGGATGAAGAAAAAAATGAGGAAAAATCTGAGTCAAAAGAAGAAAAGACAGATGGAGCTATTACATCTTTGAAGGAGGATGCAAAGGTGGACGTAGGAGAAACAAGTGATCCAAAGACTGAGCTGAAAAAAGAGGAAAAGAAACTAGAAGAAAAGACATCTACAGACAGCACAGAAGAGAAGAATGCTACAGCTGATCCAATGATGTGTGAAAAAGCAGTTGTTGGGGAGAAAAGAGAGGCAGAAAGAGGAGAAGAGAGAAGCCTCTTGGATAAGCCACCAGAGAGATTAGAAATCAGAAGAAAGAGTAGTATATCTGATTGGGAGCTACTACAGAGGCCCGATGACTGCCCAAGTGCCCCTCCTCCAGGGTATGGTGATGAGGAGGAGGAAGAGGAGTCAAAGGAAGAGTGGATGGCCAGTGCCAGCAGTACCTCCGTCTCCCCTTCAAAGGATTCTCATTACATAGAACCATCAAGTGAAGGAGCTGTTAAGACTGATCGTCCCTCTGACTTGAACACCGGTGCCACCTCCTTCTCTGCCTCCCCTCCAGGTTATAAACATCGCAAAGGAGAACTCTCTCCATCGTTCATCAACCCCAGTCCTCATCAGCTTTCCAGTGACGAGGGTGAGGAGGATGGTTGCAGTGACCACTTCCAAGATGGGGACGAGGATGATCAAGAGCAGCACTCTGTGAAAAGGAGGTCGAACAAGCAGAGGCACCACCACACTCAGAGTTACCCTGGGGACACTGTTCCGGGGCCTAATCTTTCTGGGGCCATGTCATCTGGTTTGGCTGTGACATTAGCTGGAGAGGAAACGCCTCCCACATCAGTGAGCGAATCACTGTCATCACAGTCGGACTCGGACGTCCCTCCAGAAACTGAGGAGTGTCCATCCATAACAGCTGAAGGAAATCTGGACTCAGACGAAGATGCTGAACATCTGCCTGTGGACAAATTATCGGCATCCGGAGCTGGAGGAAGCCACCATCCCCCATCACCGAGATCTGCTCAGAGGAGTAATGACCCCCTCCCCACTCCAATGAAGGACCCTCTTCCTCATCCTCCCCACCCAGATGTGTGCATGGTGGATCCAGATGCTCTTCTCAATGACCACAGCAGCACAGAGAAGCTTCTCAAGAAGGAGCACAAGACCACCAAGGGCCTCAGAAAGGGTAAAGCCAAGTCAGCTTCTCCTGCTCGTAAGGGAGAAGTCAGGAAGCGGTCTTCTACTCCAGTGAAGCAGGCTAAGGACTCTGCGTCACCACGATCAGCCTCCCTCAGGAGGAAGGACACGGACCGAAGCTCCAGGCTGATCAAGATGTCTGAGAGTCAAGGCTCCAATCCAGGCCTAAATCCAGGGAAAGGCTTGGTCAATGGTGTCAAGAGCAGTCCAGGTGGGTAACAGGCTTTAAAAACATAACATTAAACTACCTTTTAATTCACTCCTGGTCTGATTCAAAGTGGTTTCACACCAGATTTAATGAGACAAAATACATTTATTTTTAAACAGGAATTTTTTATTGCACCTTAAAGGTTCAGGACTGTGTACACTGAGTGCTGCACACAGTGGCAGCAAAGGTTACTGCACTTGTGTTCCCTTAATAACCAAAATTGAAATTACTCTAAAAAACCTTTTCTTAGATATTTCCTCAACAAATATCATCAGCAGTCATAATAGAGGGTTGAATTTCCAGTATGATGGGTCATCTTTTTAATTCCTGTGAAATACTTGATAATCCATAAATAGTAAAAATTATATTAGAATTAGATAAAACCTTTAAATCTGATTGCATTTCAGCTACTAAAATAGAAAAGACAAAAGTTGTCCAAAGAATACAAATATGCATTTTTGGAAATTTCACTCCAATCATATATCTTTGTTGAATTTGTGCAAATATGATCAACCTCCAGAACTACATATTCACAAAATGTTTTAATCACATAAATAGATAGTACTTAGGAAAGTTGTTGATGTGCTGTTTATTTCCATTTCCAATACATTTGAAGTACTATTATTATTCTCGAATGCCTTTACATCCGTATTCCCATCCAGGCAACAACTCACAGAAAACAGGTTCAGGCGTCCCCCCTGGACCACCTGTCTATGTTGATCTGGCCTACGTGCCCAACCACTGCAGTGGGAAGAACGTGGACCAGGAATTCTTCAAGAGAGTTCGGGCTGCTTACTATGTGGTGAGCGGAAACGACCCGGGCAGTGGAGAGCCAAGTCGTGGAGTCCTCGACGCCTTGCTGGAGGGCAAGGCTCAGTGGGGCTCCAATTTACAGGTGTTTAATTACTGTCTGTCTCTATCTGTCCATCTACTCTTCCATTGTATTATATTCCCTGCACAAATGTGTGTTTAATTCTCCATAAGTTCATATCCACAGTATTGGTTCCTTTCTACAGACTAATGAGTAGTAGGGTGTGCTCATGTCCATCCAGCAATACAAGGTGGAATCACTGCCTGGAATCGAATTAGGTTCAAACTTGGTGTATTGTTTGTCATCTGTGACATTTGTTGGGTGGGCAGTTGGAGAGAAAATCAAAACATTGACAGACATTCCTATATTTTCTTTTAGATTGGAGACAAACTAAAGTTTAGCAAGACTGTCAACTTGCACATCTCATCAGCAACAAGTAACTGAAGGCAACATAAAGAAATTGTAACTAAACAGGTGTCACATATGCCAGAGACTCATCAGGATAATAGAACAATTTACGTAAACTTTATTTTTTGTTTTTACTTCTTATTTCTTTTAATTTTACTTCTACTCATCTATCTATGAGCAACGACACCAGTAGAGGCACACACACTTTAGCGACAGGACAGAGATGTCGTATGAAGTAGAGAGCTTCTCGCCTCTAGAGTTTCTTGATGGCCAAGACCATGTTGCCCGGGCTGTTTTAACCATAGCTGCAGGCTACATGAAATTTTTAATGACATGAGAATGGTGTAAATCATCTCATCTAACTCCCCCCAAAAAGCCAGAGTGCTGTTCAATGCCTGAAGATAGTGTCACCTGTTATCATCATCACACAACTAATTGTTTTTTTCCCCTCTTGCGTCCCGTCAGGTGACTCTGATCCCAACCCACGACACGGAGGTCACCCGGGAGTGGTACCAGCAGACCCATGAGAGGCAGCAGGACCTGAACATCATGGTTCTGGCCTCCAGCAGCACCGTAGTCATGCAGGACGAGTCCTTCCCCGCCTGCAAGATCGAATTCTGAGCTTCATGAGCCCTGCTCTGTACGCTCGTACTTTGTTTGTTTTCGTCAGTGAGTTGAATGCCTGCCCTAACACAAGTCTCAAACTAGCAAGAGTTGTAGTAAAAAAGTAAAATCATCCAGGAAATAATCACTAGACAGCTTTCTTTGCCTCATATATTACAGATAAATGGACATCATCATCATCCCACAAATATATAATACCAGAGTTAATCTATAGATAAGTAAGATGCAACTCTTACACTTGTGGCTTAAGTCACAATTAACTAAGAAATTCAATGTTTCCGATGTGGCAAATCTCCTATGAAAAGGGCCAAAACATGAGTCCTTACTGATTAACTCACCAAAATATTTCCTAAATTATCTCAAGCCATCAATAGTTACTTTAGATTGTATGCACAGACTAAAGTTTTTCAGTTTGATTTCTATCCGTTCACATGATAAAACTCATCTTTTGCTCTTCTGCTCGCACTAAACTAGTGTTTGGATAAACTCAATAATAACAAAAATCGATGTTATGTTAAAAAAAAAGAAAGAAAAAAACTGAAATGTTCCTTCTTGTGATTTGTGCTGAAGTTTTAGAAGGTGCCTGAAGTTGCCACCCTTTGAAATGTTTCTTCTCGGCTTTCACAGCTTCGCTGGTGCATGTTGCTTGCGTTTTAGCTCGGAGTCTTTCAGAGAGACATGCTGTGGGTTAATGTTTCATTTAGCCAGAGCTAAAGCGTGGACTGCAGTATAGCGTAGAAAGGCTACTTCACTGTTTGGCCGTCTATGCTTATGTGAATCCAATAGGCAGAAGGCAAGAGGACAATGTTTTTACACTGTTCATATCTCTGCTTCTTTATCATGGTCTTTGTTGGTTGTATGTACTCCAGTATACATATAGGGTAAATGTTTCTATATCAATACAGAGGTTATTTATTTTGTGATGATGAAGCAAATTATGAGCCTGAGATGAATGCAGGGTCTTGGATCGTGCATTTGATAAATTCTAATGAATATTTCCTTCATTTCCTCCTGTTCAACTACATTTTCTTGTCTCTGTCAAAATCACAAAGCGATGGAAAAAACAAGCAGTGACCTGTGACAAATGTAGCAAAGAAAGCTTCTCTGTCCATCCCTTTAGATGGAACAATGCTAGGACCTGCAATATCTGTGTGTAGTGTTTATTTTTCAGAGGAAAATCTGTGTTCAATATGTTACAGGAGGCTTCTTTCATGTGCCTTTAGCTTGTGGTTTTGGAGGGAGCAGAATATTTCAAGGACATTTGGAAGCAGACGCAGAAACCAGGGTATATCAAGTACAGGACTTTTAAACAGAGGACCAATCAAGTCATATAGTACAAATACAAACTGTATCCACATCCGGGATAGTAAATGGTTTGTGCTGTATAATCCAATTCTTAACTCCACATCCTGAAATGCCATTTTGGAAAATTTCCAAACCAACATGAATGTCAAGCAACGTATTGCACCAAATAGGAACGCAGTTTTCTGAGGAGGGAGGGTTTAGACTTCAGAGGTTTGTTTATAGTTGAAGCACAGAGAGTTAGTGTAGCAGCAGAAATTAACTTTTTAATGTAATATGACATAATGTACGAGTCGTTCCTCCAAACTGAGCTTGCTGTTCTTGCAGGACGACGTCCCTAATACAAAGCGATTAATCCCAGAGTAATATTTATAGAACAAGCATGAATGTGATGATTATGATTGTACTGGATATGAAGTAGGAATGTTGTAGAAATAGTTTTGCGCGTGTGAGAGTATACGACGCACTTAGAGTCAAATGTTTTTATAAGAGCAGCACGGTTCGTTTTCTGTAGGTTGTGTTGGGAGTGAGTTTCTTCTGTGGGTTCAGTGTGAAAGGTCTTTCTGCTTGTTCACAGCCAAATTAGCTCACATTACATTTACATGAATTTTAGATTTACATTTTCAAAACATTTAGCCCATGATTTCATTTTCTGAGGCTCGAGGAGGGGCCAGGCTGGGTGAGGCAGGGCAGGCTTGGATTTCCAGACAGGACTTTGTTGGAGCTGTTGACGACAGCTCGTCAGGATGTTACCAACTAAAAGCAGAGAGGATCCTCTGCTGCACAGTTTAACTTCACCCAGTTCTCTGACTCGAGATATGGAAGAACTTTATTTAGAAGGGTTGAGCATCTTGTTAACTTGTACAAGCCTGCATGGGATCAGTGCCAATTTCTTTTTGCTGTAAAACTCACAATACAAGCACTACTTTTTTTTATACCTCATCTTCCAAAGCCTCCAGCTCTTTGCTCTGCCTGGCCTACACCTTTTCTTTCAAATCATTTTGCTTTTAGTATAATACCTCACCATTATGCACTGTGCAAGCCTTGATATGCATCTCATTCTTTGTGATCTTTCAGAGGCAGATATAGCTTGTTCATTTTAGCCATAGTTCAGCTGGGTACTCAAAACTACACACATATCTTACGGCACGGTCACACATACACCAACGTGGGCAAACATCGTGGGTCAAAGTAAACCAAAGCAGTGAATTCGCTTCGCTACAGGCAGCCAATGTTTTATGCGTCTCCTTGGAAGGAAAGTGAACAGGAGGCGAAGTTTTACCACTGCCACATTCATGTATGTTTGACCGTGTCCTTTGTCTGGAGGGAGGTAATTAGCGAAAGGGCACACATGATGTTCACCCAGTGAAAGTTCAAAATCTCTCTCTGTTACTTCACACCCAAATGTTTGTGAAACGATCAAGCAAAAAGTCCTTTCAACCCCTTTATTCGCTGCTAAATGGAAACGTATCCAAAAACAGGGAGAAGCTTTTTGACGTGTGGGTCAGATGTTGTGGACACTGATGCGTCGTAATGTCTTTCAGTGATGTTTTTAAGTTGGCAGATTCCAAATACTTGGTCTTGAGATGCTCAATGCTGTGAATCACTTAGTACTGAAGTGTAAAACTATACAGAAGCTGAATGCACTATACAGGAGATATATTTTTCTGAATGTAGAGTTGGTACTATCTAATGAATGCTGCGGGATCAAAACAATAGACAAAAATAAATAAAAACAAAAAAATAAAATACTCACACTTACTTAGACAGAAACCAATTTCAAAGGGAGCACAAAGGGGGGGGAGATACTATACTATTCTGTTTTGGCAAATTGTCATTTCAGTTATAGTTTTGCTCCAAAGTAGGAGAAAATGGTTTTTCAACAGAGATCCCATAACAAACTTATATGAACAATAACACTGCAGCTGAAACTTTTCCTTTTCCTGAATATGACTTGAAACACATGCAGATTCAAAAACTATCAATAAAATCAGACAAATGTACACTGATGTACTGTGCATAGAAGAGTACACAAGACGCTCTGGAAAGAACACATGAAAGATATAACAACTATCCATCTTGTGAAACTTGTTCATTTTAGCTGACTTTAGTGACAGTATACAATCAACACTGCTAACTGTTCTATAAACCAAGGAATATATTCCAAACGCTGACAAGATACAGAATGAAAAAAATGTGCATCTTTCTGTTTAATGTCATGAAGATATCATTTGATCACAATATGGTGTCATCCGTCCATCTAATCTTTCTGCATGTGATTTATTTAGTTATAATCCTGAATGTAATTGTTTAACATGGAAATAATAACAAAAAATATGATGCTATTTTAAAGAGGTATATTTGAAAAAAGCTAATTGTCTTAACTGGTACTGAAATTACTTACAGTAATATATTACTGGGCTGTGCTTTCTTTGTTTGCCCTATAAACATGTTGCTAAGAAGATGCTGTATTGGTAGTTCTGTTTTATTCTCTCTATCTCTCTCTCTTTTCTTTTGCATTGTATTAATCTTAGTTATGTTTTTCTTCCTCAGCGCAATATTCAATATCTCTCTGTCTCTTTAAATCTAACTGGTTAAACTAGAACTACTGCAGATTCATTGTAAAAGGGAAACAGCCTGGTGATCATTAATTAAAGTACATTTAAATCTGAATGTGTGTCGTGGGTTTTGTTTCATTTCATATCTTTTAAATACACAGCGGGGTCAAAGGTCTAACTCCATTTTCCCAAGTGACGTTCTTAGTACTTTATTCATATGGAACAGCAGCTGTCACCTGACAAATATAGATATAATTGTAGAAGAGGAGTATTTGACCAGCTTTTATGTTTTGTCACACAGTAGCTTTGATAACTTCCATATCTTCCACACTGAACCTTTAAATATGATGATTTGAATTTGCGTTTCTGCCACAAACCTGTTTTTCATTGCACTGATAAAAACTGAATAAACTGTATAATATGAGTTGGTTCAATTATTTATCTGGAATGAGACAGAACTGCGGTCTAAAGCAAATTTCAGCACTTAATCAAAGAAGCAATTATAGTTCTTTGCTAAACGTACGAACTCTCAAATGTCTTTTTCATTCTTTTGCTTCATTTGGGCGTTGCCTTTAACTCTGATTGGTTCCAGCTGGTGGACAAACACCCCTTCGCCTCTGTTCCAGGAAACAATGACTCATCAAGAATTTAGTTTCCCTTGGTTCCATTTTTAAACCTTTATTTCCCCAATCTCACATCACCATGCAGGCGACAGTGAGTCAAGGTAAATCCAACCTTAAATTAGGTTAAGTGCGGAGAAGCCATTGATTCGTGTCAGTGAATGTGGAATCGTTCCTTCACAATATCGTTAGCCTAATAGCATATTATTAATTTGCTGCCTAATGACTTTTGAGTTCTGGAAAGGTTTGCAAAATATTTCCTAAATAACAACTTTGACCCCAACTGAATCCTGCATTGGAAGGTTGTGGAAGGCTCAGTGTACGACAAGATAAAGAAAATAAAAAGATAAGAGATAAAAGATAAATCCCCTAAATGAAAGATGCATGGTAAAGGAACTGGCTACATATCTATACAATGATAGATTTTTAGCCATGCCACAACTTTGGTCCAGTAAGAAACATCATAAGAAAATTGGATGAATTATCATGACATTCGGTGTCTGCTCTTACTCTTAAATTTAACAGCATAATTTGTGCAAAGGTTTGTCCATTACTTGTGAGAAAGTACCTGCAGAGTTAATAACTCACATTAGTGAAGCAGATGCTGCATTCAGGAACAACATGGGGAAAAACGGAGAACTTCCCTAATTGCAACTTGGACCAGATTCGCACCAAACAACAGACATGTCATGTAATGTTATGTCATGTATTTATAGCACCTCATTCATTACAGCTAACATGCATGAGGAACATAAGTCATTACCCTAATATATCTTACCTTATTACTTCATTTTCACTGAAAAAACAAAACAAAACTGGTGAATAGTTTTAAAACTGTACAATATTACAAGATAGCAGGTAACTATAGTCATGTTATTGACTGTGGGGCCTTACCATAGAGGTGCTAGGGCTGAATACTACTCTTAGCATGCTAAGAAACTAATGTTTGCCATAATATGAAATCGTTTTTATGATATCTGATATTAACATGCTTTGCTAATTAGTAAAGGAGAGCTGAAGCTGACAACCTTCTAATACATTATTATGTTTGGTTAATATGTCCTGAGTACACGTTGAAATACTTATCTATAGTCAAAAACATACATGAAATATCAGGTCATGCTTAAAAATCATTTATAGGTTAATGTCCAGTAGGACATGGTATGTAGGACATTATGTAGTCATACTGGTATCTGTTCTTTTGAACACAAAAACTCAAGAACCGTACATAATAAAAAACTATAGTAGAAAATTCATACTTACGCCACAGGTACCCCATATGGAGCAAATGATCAGATTTGGAGATTACATTTTCGAGATAATTTCTGCATAAATTTCCCAGAAACTCCTTCAAACTCTAAGCTAAGATTTTCAAATTGACAGGTAGCATACAAATACAAACATGCTGTTGTAAAAACCTTTGCTAATAAGCATATAGATAAACTAATTGGTTTAAAGGTTCAGTGTGTAAGATTTAGGTGAAAGGAATTTTTGGCAGAAATTGAATATAAAATAATCCTACTGATGTTTTCACTGGTGTGTTTCATCTAAATTGTATGAACTGTTGTTGTCTTTACCATAGAATGAGCTCTTTATATCTAAAAACTTTATATTTACATGGAGGGGGGTCCTCTCTGTGGAGGCCGCCATGTTTTTTACTGTCATCCAAACTGGACAAACTGAAACCTTTTGAGTTTTCATGACAACTGAAGTTCACCACAGGTTCAGCTGCAACATGACACTTTCCTATAGATTTCACTATATTCTACATACTCAATAAAAGCTTAGTCTTTTGTGCTAGTTTGCTGAAACTCTGAGTCAAACATGAGGTAAGGAAATGAGACACTGGCCTCAGTATTGGAGGATTGATCAGGTGAGCTTTGATTCGTCAGGTGGAATGATGAAAGTTGTGTTTCCACTCCACACTTGTCAAAACAACTGAAACGATTTCTGTTTGATTGTTACACGACTTAACTGTGAGGTATGAGTGAGTATGACACAGCAAATTTAACGAGACAAAAAAACTACAGGGGGGGAGGGGCGGCAGATAAATGTGGGCTCCACAAATCAAACTGGATGGATCCACATCTACACCTGAAGCGGTCACATGCACACACTTCATTCATCACAGCCAGTGATGAAAGGCTCCTATTTTATCTCTGTCTGCCCTTTTATTGCAGTAAGTGTGTCACCCTTGAGCCCGCCTCTGTTTTGCTGTATGAACACACAGAAAGAAAAACAGCGCAGGAGAGAGAGAACAACACATTTGGTTTGTTGTTGATGACGTTGGCTGTCTCTCTAACCTGGGATGTGATACTATTTCATGCAGTTTGGGTCTCTGGTGGGCTGAGACGCCACACATCTACCACATCGCCAAGAAAAAATACTCCCTTCCCTCCCTCCCCCAGTTTCCATAGCGACACATTTTGACTTTGGAGGAGGGGAGTGGACGATGTGGGTGTGAAGGTGGCACTGGAGGTCTAACTGGGCACTTTCCTGTCTCTCTGTCGTGTTTGGCTATAGAGACTGGATGAGGGTTAGTCTCTCATCAGGATGACTAATAGTCTCATCTCCTGCCCTCACCTCCCACTTCTCTCGTTGCATTTACATTTGTATTTTAAGCAATTAACGCGAGCTAGGTCACTGAACAGTAGATAGGAGGTCAAGACATTGGGACACTGTGACCTTCTAGAGTGGAAACTACACGTGGAAAGGAAATAAGGAGAGAAGAGCTGGGTGAAAGCCTGAATAGGAAAATATGTGTAAACCACAGTTTGAAGTTTATTTTTCATTGCTTGAATAATCTCTCAGAGGTCTAGGACTGAAAGGTGAGTGGATAGTTGGACCAAGAAAAGCACATCCATCTTTTGAACATATTTTTGCAGCTGATTTATAAAAGGCTTTCAGCGATAGGGGGTGTCAACATGGTTCCGACATGAGTCAGCAATACCACTGCCTACTTTTTTTTTTCCTAAACAAAATTCCAAATGCCGTGGGTCTGAAAGGAAGTAGGCTGATTCCCCAGATATGCATCAAATTCCTTTATTTGTTTGATGTCAGAAAAAAACCTGTAAATGAGCGAGAGTTAGCTATATAAGCTAACTTCCATCTGTTGTCCCAGTTTTTTACAAGGCAACCTGAAATAAAATAAAATGACCTGTCGTATATAATTACAAATATCTATGGATGATGCTCCGGTGCATTAAACATACCATCCAAGCTAACTGTACAACAAAGGAGTGGTGTGGTCTGTAGAGTAGGTGCAGGGGATGATCCTCGCAGCACAGTTGTGGAGGGTTCCGAGTCATTGTATGAGTTTATTTGGAATACCAGTGAGAAGGGTGTGACCGTCGTCAATGAGGGAAGTGAGCAGGGCATGAATCAGAACTTTGGTGCAAAATCCCAACGGCTCATGTAAAGTCATGTCCTCACTTTTCCTCCATACATAGTGGCAGTTTTTATAAAAATATAAAAAGCTGAAGGTTGGAGAGTAGAAAGTGAAAGCTCTTGTTCATAGAACTCTGAAGAACTGCAGACCAAGTGATGACTCAGAGGAAAAGAGCAGTCGTTTTCTGGGGTCACCACAGTTTCTTTTTAGTCTGTACAAAACCAAACAGGGCAGAACTTCCAGTCAATCACATACACAGTGGGTCCTTCACACACAAGACGTGAGCTGAAGGCTTTTCTCACTAAACCTTATATACAATACCATCTCTTAAGACTGAGCCGTAACACTTCTTTTACCCTAAAGCTTTAATTAAATGTGTGTGGGTGCTTTTACTGAGTACACGCTGATAAAGGTCACAAAACTACCTGCAGTCAGTTTCTCATCTTGTGAAACTGTAAATCAACTGTGTACAACGAAAGATGTGTGTAGATGAAGTGTGTGTCTGTGTGCTAAGAGGCTTTAAAAGAGGTATTTGTTTAAGAGCATCTCACAAAGAAATACATGTGTGTGTGTGTGTGTGTGTCTGTGTGTGTTGATAGAGACGGAATGAATGGATGTTTTGTGTTGTCTGTAGGAAATAAAGGCAGAGAAAGACTTGTCATCCAGACAGAGTGAATGACATCAGCATTTGGCTTCCAGTGAGTCGGCGGTCCCCGCCTCTCTCTCCGTTCACCCAGCGCCACTCAGGGGGAGTCTATTACATCTGGGGGCGCCACCATGGCAACGCATGGGAGCAATAGGAGGAGGCATGAGTCATCGCTATTCTTAAAAGCTGTTTGGAAAGGAAAAGAGTGAAGAGGAAGAAGAGTGGAAGCAAAAGAGAAGATAATGGGAGGAGAGGATAGAAGAAAAAAAAAACAAGATGGGTGAGAAATAACCCAAAAAAAAGTGGGTGCTAGGGATGAATATAAGATTAAGATGAAGTGAGAGGAAACAAAAAACAGAGAAGATGGGGGCAGGGGAGTGAGAAAGGAGGGTACTTAGAAAGTAGAGAAACAGGAGGAGAAAGAAAAGGAGATAAGAAGCAGAAGAGGACGAATTGGGTGAAGAAAAACAGACAAGCGTAGAGAATCAGAGAGGTATGAAAGGTTGGAATGAGGTAAAATAGATGAGGGGAGATGAAATAAAGAGGAAGAGAGAGCAGGGGAGGAAGGAAACAGGTGAGGTAAGGAGATAGAAGAGGAGATTAAAGTGGAAGAGGAGAGAGTGGAAGAAAAACAAGAAAGGAGAGGAGGAAAAGATGGTGGTGAAGAGAAAATGGTTAAAATGAGTTAAAAAAGGGGGAGGGAAAAAAGGAAAGAACCAAAGAAAAAGAGAAGAGCAGGCGGGGGAGGAGAGGAAGAGATTGATGGCAAAAAGAAGAAGACAAGGATGAGAGATAAAAAAATAAATAGAGAGAGGTGTTGGCACAATAGTGACAAGAAGCTTTGTTTATGGAGCAATAAGAGGCTTATGTCTCTGGCCATTAATCACACACACTGAACAATGTTTCACTGTCTAACTTTTTTTATTAACCCCCCCCCCCCAACATCACATCTCGACCTAAACGTCCACGGAACAGAAGTTATACAGAATTTGAATGTTAAACTGATTTTGTTCTCCTGCAGCCAAACATGTGCCAAAACATACACACCCCTCTGTGGCTGCCATTAAATAGAACATTAAATAATAACATAAATACACATAAGTAAAATTACCTCCATTGAGTGAAAAAGAATGAATCCTATTAAAATCTAAAACTCTTTCTGACTAAAATATACATGTTTGTTCTACAGCAGGAGTTTGTGGTCAGATCATTTTCAGTTAAAGTAGGTTGAAATGAACAGGGAGCCATTTTATTTCTTCCAGTTGTACTTTGGTGTTGCAGACAGTACAGCCTGAATGCAATTCTTTTACTACTGCAAAAAACTGCAAGTCACTGCTTTATCATGAAGCTTTGTTTTGGTCAAGGTTATACAAGTATAACGTATATATGCAAGTATAACTTGTATTTCTTTTGCGATTTTAAATAAAATACTTTTTCAAACCAACTGAAAGTGAATTGACCCTGGGTGCAATCATGATAATAATGAAAAAGACAATTTCCACTTTCAGATTCCTGACTGGTCCACCTGAGCATCACTCGTCTTTACAAACCGTCACTTGATTAATTCAACACTTACACAATACACAAGTAATTTGGTGTGATATCAAAATGCACGCCCACACACAGTCTGAAAAGTCCAGTATTTAGGTAGTCGTCATTTAGTAGTACATTTATACTACTTAATTAATCAAATGGGTTTTCCCTTTAATTCTAATCAAACCTCATTTGTCACCACCCCTCAAATAAAAATAATACAAATACAGCAGGAAACCAACAGTGTGTAAAACACTTAAACATTTCTCTCACAAGTTATTTAAAGGCACATTTACACATTCATTGTGTTTCCATTTAACAGCAGATGATCATAAAAGAGACTATGACAGTCGAATCAAGCACTTTGTCATCTGAGTCCTGATGGGACATGACGCCCATCCTCTATATGTCACAGTGTCGGACACATTTAGGCTGCAGCTGAAGCTTTGGTTAGAGTTTGAAAAGGTCTGAGAATAAAATGTTATTTCTTAAGGTTTTCCACTTCCTGCCTTTTCAAAAAAAATCATCTTTACAAACCGAATATGCCTTGTGAAATAATGTTCACTGATCTTAAAGGAATAGTTTGACACAGATACGCACGTCTTTTTTTTTAACATGATGTTAGATGAGCAGATCAATATCACCCTCATGTCTGTACACTAAATATGAAGATATGAACGCATATTAAATCCAATTTATTTAATTCAGACATTTACTGCAGTGTCAAAGTTTCTGCACATAAAACCACCAACTGTTCTTTACACTTGAAATTTCACAAACACAGAACGTGTCGATTAGAGGAAGTGTTTCATTATATTTGCAGTCTTTGAGCAAAGCAAACAGGTCTTTGTCAGTATCATGATATTCAACAAACAATATCAGAGTGATATTAATCAACTTGTCTAACTCTCATTTCAAGTTCAAAGTTTTTTTTTTCAAAGCTTTGATTCTCTCCCTATACTATGGACTACCTGGACTATGACTGGCTAAAGGTACAGCTGTAATGCAGCAGAGACAGGTTTATCTTTCGTATATGTGACGTTATGACGGCTGACTGGCAGTCTTGTGCATTTCAGCTGTAAGTGCAGCTGTAAGTCATGAGGCAGCTGGTGGTTGAAGCATTGGGTTTTGATGTGATGGGCACTATCAAAATGACATTATAGGCACAACTGGTCGGAGTTTTGGCTCGATGCACTGTTCACATAGTCACCGCGGCTTGATGAAATTGTAGAGAAACTGAAGAGGAAGATTCAGGTGATGAGAGGATTAGAACTGATGAAGGTGCAGAGTTTAACAGTGCGGAGCAGGGAAGGAGTGGTAGAGCTGTGGTCTGGCTGCACCAGAAGAGTCTGTGTTCAGTGTAAGTGGTTATAGTGACAGTTTGTAACCCCTAAGTAGGGTGGACTCGCTCCAGCATCATTTCCCTCCAGTGTTTCTTTGGGATCGTGAGCAGAGGGACAGATGTAGAAAAGCACAGAGACGATCAAACCAAGGGCCTCATGTCGTCCCCTCTCAGATACCCAGAAGTCCTTGCGTCAGTCTACTCACTGAAACTGAAGTTCAGCCCAGAGCTCTCTGTGATCGGGGAAGAAGGGCCTGCGCTGGACACAGCACTGGAGGGGATGCTGCCGTCTGCACAAAAGAAACCAAGAAAATTCAGTCAATTCTCTTTCAGACTCAAAATACATGATGATCCAACACAAGAGTTGACCCATATCTGACTCAAATACATTGCGACAATCAATTACAGAATTAAAAAAACCAAACCAAACAAATAATTTGTTGTTTATGAACATTTAATTCAGATTTGTTCTTCTTTCAAGTAATCGTGTCTTGCTTGACAGACTTTGATTCCTTTGGCCTGAGGGTTTTGTATGTTGGACCAAATTGCCAAATTGACTTTTTTGATACTCCCTGTTCCTCCAGTGAAAGATGATTTCACGCTTTACCCAAACACACAAATAGAACACTCAATAATATCAAACCTGTACTAGAGAGATAGTGTGTCTATGTACCTTCACCATTATGTTTGTGTGCTTCCTCAACTAAACCTCAATTTGACTCAAAAATGATGTCTTCCACATGAACACATGAATGTGCACTGAATGACAACTGCTAGAAGACGACTTTTCAGTTTCTCTCACTAACTGTTGTCTTTGCTTCAGCAGCGTATGTCTCTCTGTCTGAAGAATCCATTCATGTTTATTACAGTCCTGCGAGGACTACAGACATTGTTTTTTCCTTTTCAGATGACATTATTTATTGATGGCTATCAGGATGTGAAGAGGATGTCAACAAATAAGATAAAAAGTGCCTCAGAAACAAAAGCATTTTTTTAACGTTTTATTTCAGCCATTTTAAACGAATAAGTAAAATCATATCATCTGTGTCATTTTGACACGAGATAATATCCAGAGAGCGTCTGGTCTTGCTGAGCGACTGACTGTAGTCCTGCTCTGACAAACCGCTGGTACTGCAACCGGCAGCAGAACAAGTGTCCCATTCATCCAGCTCTAACCTCCTGCATGCCTGTCTGTTCACTGGCTGATAAACAAGGTTTAATGAGTTCTGAGCAGTTCCAGCTGCCCACATCTGGAACAGGCACTGATGGGACCGAGGACGACGGGGAGATGGACAGAGAACTGAAACGCCACCCACAGTGAGCCCCATGTAAATAACGTACACAAGAGGTGGTGAACGGGAATGGGGAAACACAAGAGAAGATAAGTGAAAGAGAGATGAGCGAGCAGAGGCTTCATCAATCAGCAGCAGTGGTGAGAGGATAAATTTATCTCCTCAGGACCTGGGGGGG